TATATTGGGTAATGAAATAATTCTCAATATATTTCAAAGGGGACATTTTACAGAGTATAGTTCCTTACTAGAACCAGGTTAAATTAGAAATCCATAACAAAATATCTAAAAATTTTACCAATATTTGCAAGTTAAATAACAGACTACTAAGTAACTCAAGGACAAACTAAGAAAAATCACAAAGAGAAATGTAACATTATTTTGAGTCTAATCATAATGAAACATACAGTATATACTTGACATTTTTTAAGAAAGAGAAAAATTTATTAACATTTAATAAACCACAATCTTGAATTTTTCTGAAAGATAATTATCACTCAGCTCTACTTTTACCTTTCTTAATGTATCTTTTTTGGAAGATGTGGAAGTGTAAATCTGCAATTTTTCAATATTTGTATTGTTGACATTTGGAATAACTAATTCTTTGTTGTGGGGACTGTCCTGTGTTTACTAGGGAGTTCAGCAGCTTCCCAGGCCTTTATTTACAAGTAACAACCACATTCCCAATCACAACAATTGAAAACAGCTCCAGATGTTACTACCTGGATTGAGAGTCAGAGTTAGGTTTCCAACCCTAACACTTACAAACTTTGTTTCCATTGGAGCCTACTTAACTGTTCTAAACTTCTGTATTTGTTCACAAGTCTGCTTGAAAAAGGATAATGCACATCTGAAGATTAACATTATGTTTGCCATAGCCTCAACTCTTAACAAATATGAAATATCTCTGTTTGTGTGTAATTATTGACTTTACATAAACCCATCAACTAAAATGATTTCTTGTTATGACTAAACCACTGAAAAAGTTTAATTTAATCTTTTGGTTTATAGTCTTATTTACATGAATTTATCATTATAATTAAAAAATGTCATCCCTCATTTATTTATTATTAATATATGTTAAGCATAGAAATAGATTAAGATTAAACAATCTGTTCTACTAAGCATCACAGATTCTGTTGTTTCATCTCTCACTAGCCAGTGCCATAAATAAGACATTTCCACATCTGATTTTCAGTGTTCTCCATTGTGACATGAGAAAACATGAATTTCTTGATCATTGCAACATGCAAAATATGAAGTCCTTTAAAATTATAGGCATCAATAATTTTAAGAAATATTTCTCATTAAATTGTTTATAATCTCTAGAATTGTAAGAAGTAAAGATATATTTAACTAATTTAATATGAACATAGGAAGAGAACAGAATAAGTAATTCTAATTCAGCTCTAGAAATAAGATAGTGCTTAAGCAGAAATTTACATTGATGTTAAAAAGGTACAAGATGTTGCACAATTTCAAATAATATAATAATCCATGTATCTTAAAAATTACATTTTTACTCAGGCTAGCCTTTACAGATTCTCATTCAATCATTAACTAAATATCTGTTATGTATATATACCCATCACTACTTTAATGAGTATTCAAGATGACCACAATTTTTCTTTCAAGAAGCAAGTTTAGTCTAGTTGAGGAGGCTCAGAATACAATAAAAGATAGTGTAAGGACAAGGGATGGTCAATAACTTCTGTCAGAGTAAAAAAGTTGTCTGGAGCAATTAAAACTCTAAGAACTATAAATACGCTTGATGAAACATTAGTTGCCGAGGACCTTAAAAAACAGCAAGACTTGTATTATTAAAAAAAGAAGAGGGTAGTTGTCCTAAACAGGCCACAGAGCAAGAACAAGATGAATCTTGAAATCTCTGATACTCACGTCATAACTGCCCTAACAGGCAGCCAGGCCTTGTTGAGAAATACGGTTGGCAGCAAGATTAGAGAGACTGTTTAGTGCCAGGTGGAAGAAGTTTAGCTTTATGCACAGTGAATCAGTATCAACATTTTTGGGAATTATATCAGAAAAAGTATTTTGTAGAAAGATACACAGAGTAACATGGATTACAATAATTTTCAAGTGGGAGTTGGAAAAGAAAACCAGAAAGCAATAATATCACTATCAACAGTCTTTTCAATTATAAAAGGCAGTATGGACTTCTGCCAAGATGGAGGCGTAGGTGGAAGCACTGCACCTTCTCTCACAACCAAGTTTAAAAACAACAAAGTTTTAGCAACAAAAACACAGCCAAACCACAGAAAATTGAACTACACAGAAGTCTGACAACAAAGAACCCTTCAGCCAAACCGGTAAGAGGGGCAAAGTCAGCAGCAGAGCGGGGTCTGGCAGGAAAGATCCACCAGACCAACCCGGCGCGAGACCCAGGTGCTCCAGCAGCCGTGGGCGGATCCCAGGTGTGGAGTAGCAGACCTATTGAGGGTGCAAGGCGTTGGACCCACTGAGGGCTGATCGCAGTCACACATTCTCACGCAGATAAACCAGTGAAGGAGCTAGCAGTGAGACAAAGTGCACAGGCCCCAACAGCAAGAAGCAGCAGAGGGAACTGCCATTGTCCCTCTTTGACCCCGGCCCCCACATACAGCGTCACAAACCAGCGACCTGGGTGACTCCACCCTGGTGAACAACTGAGGTTCCACTCCTCATACATAACAGGCAAGAACAGAGCAAAACATGGCTCAAGAACAACTCAGAGCCCCAGAGCCCATAACTCTAGGCGATGAAGAAATAGCCAAACTTTCAGATGCACAGTTTAAAACACTGGTGATCAGGATGCTCACAGAACTGGTTGATTTTAGTCACAAATTAGAGGAACATATGAAGGCTAAACTAATTGAAATGAAGGGAAATACACAGGAAACCAATAGTAATGGAATGGAAACTGAGACTCAAATCAAAGGAGTGGACCAGAAGGAGGAAAAAATGACCAAACAGAAAAGGATGAAGAAACAAGAATTCAAAAAAAGGTGGAGGGGCTTAGGAACCTCCAGGACATCTTCAAACATTCCAACATCCGAATTATAGGGGTACCAGAAGGGGAAGAGGAACAGCCACAAGTGGAAACCTTATTTGAACAAATAATAAAGGAGAATTTCCCCAATCTGGCAAAGAAAATAGACTTCCAGGAAATCCAGGAAGCTCAGAGAGTCCCAAAGAAGTTGGACCCAAGAAGGAACATACCAAGGCACATCATCATTGTATTAGCCAAGATTAAAATGAAGGAGAGAATCCTAGAAGCAGCAAGAGATAAGGAGATAGTCACCTACAAAGGAGTTCTCATCAGACTGTCAGCTGATTTCTCAAAAGAGACCTTACAGGCAAGAAGGGGCTGGAAAGAAATATTCCAAGTCATGAAAGGAAAGGACTTACATCCAAGATTGATCTATCCAGCAAAGCTTTCATTTAGAATGGAAGGGCAGATAGAGTGCTTCTCAGATAAGATCAAATTCAAGGAGTTCATCATCACCAAGCCCTTATTATATGAAACGTTAAAGGGACTTACCTAAGAAAAAGAAGATAAAAAAGATGAACAGTGAAAGGACAGCAAACTCACAGTTATTAAGAACCACACCTAAAACAAAAGCAAACTAAGAGGACAACTAGATCAGGAGCAGAACCATAGAAATGAAGATCACATGGAGGGGTAGCAACAGGGGAGTGGGAGAAGGAGAAGGGGGGAGAAGGTACAGAAAATAAGTAGCATAGATGGTGGGTAGAAAATAGATAAGGGGGAGAGCAAGAATAGTATGGGAAATATAGAATCTAAAGAACTTGAGACACGTGGTCATAAACTAAAGGTGGGGAATGGTGGGGGAGGGGGTGTGTAGGGTGGAGAGGAATGAAGGGGGGAATAGAACAACTGTAATGGCAAAACTAATAAAGTTTATTATAAAAATAAAATAAATAAAAGGCAGTATGACTGATTGGATTAATGCATCAATTAATTGGTGATTTTTGATAAGCACTCCTTTTAAAAAGTGATGCCCACATTTCTATTTCTTTATTATTCTACATTTAGAATAATATGTAGATTAATATGTAGAATAATATGTAGTTATATACTGGACACAAGTTAGTCCAGTATATAAAATTAATATTTGATTTACATAGGCAGTTTTTTTAAAGTCTTATTTTCTATATACACAATTGTGTATGTAAAAATATACAGATTAAAATATATATTCAAGAAGATTATTTTTCTGACTCTTGTTTTAAAGACTTTATATATTTATATATTTATCTTTAGAGAAAGGGGAAGGGAAGGAGAAAGAGAGAAAAAGAAATGTGTGCAAGATCAATCTGTTACCTCTCATGCACCCAAAACTGGGGACCTGGCCTGCAACCCCAGCATGTGCCCTGACTGGGAATCCAACCCATGAACTTCCAGTTCACAAGCCAATGCTCAGTCCACTGAGCCACACCAACCAGAGCTGACTCTTGAGGACATATTATACTATTTTTACCATATGAGGGAAAATATGTTATTTGTAAAGTTCTGTTTATTTATTATCAGCCATATGACTTCTCAAGTGGAAAAACAGCTTAGCTAAACATGAGGATCCTTGTAGCTCCTAACACCTGAAAGTTCTGAGCAGATCTGTTACGGGGTAAAAAATTCAACAAAATGGCAAACTCTGTATATCGGGCAATCTAAGGACCAGCCCCATGACTATGTTGGGCGAGTGTGTTCCCTGAGCCAGTGTGTTTCTGCATGTATCAGTTACTGGTGTCCCCCTGCTTAAGAGAATCAGAAGATAAATTTCTACTCTTTCCAAAACCTGTGAACATTAAGAACTGTCAGGTTAAAAAGCACAGTCACAGTAATTTCAGTTCTCAAGGTAAACATCTATTTCCATACAAACTTTGGCTTACATTGCTAAAATGTTGTGCAGTATTTTGGAAATGATATCAGAAAATATTTTTTCATAAAAGTATGTTGACAATTTCCTTCAAGCACACCTATGCAAAGAAATGAAATCTACTACATAATAAAAAACAAAGCCAGCCTAAAGTACAAAGAGAATAAATATTTAAAATGTTTCTGCCCTTTTAATAGAGTTTGCACCAGACACCAAGTAAAGCTAAGCAATACAAAATAAAATGAACAAAATGAAACCAGAATAATTACAAAAATTGGCACTTACCCATATTTTGCAAAATTTGCCCAACGTTTCATTATGGATCTACTCAAAATTTCTTCAGCTTTTGTGTAATTTATCCTTCTCTCCAGAGGTAAGCCAAAGACAAATTCAATTTCATAACCATGCATTACTCCCATCCATTCAGGCCAAGGGAGTTTGGATGATTGGTGTTCAAAATTGTAGAAAAAGGCATCATTTCCCAAGTCTGCAAACTTTTTGGTGAACTCTAAGGCAGGGCATATGAAGTTATAATCCCCAACAACATCGTCCAAGGCCTCACGGTATTTTTCAGCTCTTGGATCATCTAACAAATCCGTGTAATGGAAAAGTATTGATTCCCTACCAAGTTCACTGACTCCTTGAAAAAATAATTTTAAACCTTCTAGAAATTCTCTTCTAGTTATGACACTGTCATTATCTTTGCTGAAACCAGGAGAACCATACACCAAAAATGCTGTTCCTTCATCTTTATTAACACCCACCAAGATCTGGGTTTTTTTGAACTGTCCAAGTTGAAGTAGTGTGTCTGGCATGTCAGTGAGAAAATCACCATCCACCAAGGGACCAAAAGGTACTTGCAAGAGTGTACCATAGGGAACAATAAATACTTCATTCAGAAGAATTTCCTGGGGGTCTTTATTTTGGAGGCATTTGATTATCTCAGTCTCATTTTCTCTCAAGCAACCCATAAATTTAGCTAAGGTCAATGTTCTGTTCCTAGCTTCCTCAAGAGAGTTTACTGCCCAACGGGTGTTAGAAGATCCACTTTGCAGAATGGCTCTGGTGAACAATGGGTGGCTTCTAGGGGAGAGTAAGTGAAGGCTCACTGAAGCGGCTCCTGCACTTTCTCCAAAGAGAGTTACACTTTTAGGATTTCCACCAAAAGCTGCTATATTCTTTTGGATCCACTGAAGTGCCAACTGTTGGTCAAACAAGCCCATGTTCCCCGGTGCCTCAGAATTTCCTGGTAAAGCTAAAAATCCTAGGGCACCCACCCTATAATTCATTGAAACTACAATAACTCTTTCAACTCGCGCCAGAAACTTGCCATCATAAACAGGCAAAGACGACGTCCCAGTTTGAAAACCACCACCATAAATCCACACCATCACCGTAGCGTTTTTCGGCTTAGGTACTGGAATCCACACGTTCAGGTACAAGCAGTCTTCACTGAGGTCAGTATTTGGATTCCACATCTCCGATCCAGTAAAGCCTGGAAAACTTTGATCTGTGTTCTGATAGCAAGAATTTGAATATTTTGTGGCATTCCAAATATCAGACCACTTGGTCATCGATTGTGGCTTTCTGAACCGAAGTCTACCAAGAGGTGGCTGTGCATAGGGAATTCCAAGAAAAGCTGTTACTGCGCCACCAAGAACTGACAAGTTTATCCCTCTGACTTTACCATTCTTGGTTGTAATGATGATGTCTTCTTCAGAGTGTGATTCCCCAATAAGCACCCAGAGCAGAAGAAACAGCAAAAGAAATCGGATGTTTAAGATTACACCCTTGCTGTGCATATTGGTTTCTGAAAGAGAAGTAAATAGCAAGTTTTAATAGCCTTATGTATCTGGCATTATATTTTATTGATGATCACTAACTAATATATAGCAGCTCTAATTCAGCTTACACATAATGAAAACTAGTAAGTATGCAACCACTACAAAGGCTTATATAAAAAACCCAGAAAAGAGTTGGAGATATTTTAGTTTTCAATTTTCAAAATCAAGTAAGTGGAATGAAAAGGCAGAAACTATTTCCCTTTGGCAAAATTTATTATCGAACCTCTATAAGGAAGATTTAGTATTTTATATGATGAGGACCCAAATAAACTGGAATTGTTTTCTGGATGGCAGACTCATTGTAGTCCCGGCTTCCCCCACTAGGTGACTGTTCTAGGAAATCATCTCTATCTGTGTACCAGCTGGTGTTGTGAAGCCAAGCTGCACTTGGCTTCAGTGAATTTTTTTGAAGACTCTTTGAATGTGTTTGCCCATTTCATAATGGGTGATTTATAAGCGCATCTGCCCACACTATGTTAAATATTCAGCAGCTTTTGACCAAAAATGGCATGAACCACATCCCCCACCTTCCCCAAGCAACATTTTTTTTGTTCATTTCCTTGAATGAAAAAAAGTCCTCAGAGGGAAACCCTTTGCCAAAGTGGAAGAGAATAAACAAACAAACAACAACTACAAAAAACCTGCAGAAGCACTAAAAGGCATCAAAATTGACCAGTTCAAAAACGATTTTGAGCAGTGGAAAAATGTCTTAATAGGTGTATTGTATCAAATGGAGAGTACTTTGAAAGTGATTGAAGTTTAAACATGTAAGAAAAGATACACACTTTTTTAAACAAATAAATCCCAGGATTTTGGGGTCTCTCCCTTGTATAGGAAGCTCTTCTCGAGGATGTACTAGTTTTTATACTTCTTAGCATATACCACACCACCACAAGTGGCATTAAGTTGTAGTCTATTTATTACAGGTGTAATTTCTACCTTGTTTAGAGGAGGAAACAGAAGCTCATGCAGTGTCTGAGATATTTCCAGTTCGAATCATGGCTGGCTGGCTCTTGACAAAACTGTGAAGTAGGTTAAGAACATTTAAGGATCCTTAGTCTATTATTGTCTTTTTCTGTTTCCATGGTTCCTTCTGTGGTTCTTTTTGCTTAATGGCTTATTCTTTTATGCAGTCGCAAAGAACTTTTGCTTCTCCCACTTTTTCTAGTAATTTCTCAACTTTATCTTTCTCATAACTATCAAAATACAATATATAAGTAAATATATATTACATATATGTAAATATATATAAATAAATCTGACCATATTAATTAACACATTTGAACTCACTAGCCTATTATTAAAAATTTAATAATTTAATAATTAAATTACATTAATTTAATGAAAAATTAAATGAAATAATTGCAGTGAAAAATTCCTTCTAAGTCAGTATCTCCTCTCATATATTATCAGCCACTGGTTCTCTCCATTAACACTGTAATTCAGGTAAAGAAGGCCACATGAATTTTTAATTTATTCAATTTCAGATAAATTATCTAGTATACATCCACAGCCCTACCCTTCCAATTTTTCCCATAGGTCTTATAGTGTTAACAAATTAGTTTTCATAATATAAAGAATAAAAGGTGAATTGTGGTATTATTTGCTATTTAACATGCAATGAATAGATTGTCCAAAATCTCTTCTGACTATACACTTAGATTGTATAAGGGAAGAAACCTTTAGGCTAAAAGGACCACAGAAGGGACCATGGACACAGATTAATTTGTATTTTGGTAGTTAAGAAAAAGACTATAGTTGAGAAATTACTACAAAAAGTGGGGAAAGATTAAGTAATCTTTGAGACCAACAAAATTATAATTGTTCAACATTTTATTAAATAATATTTATTTGAAGACATGAAAGAGTATTTGGGGAGATCAAATCTTTATTAAATAATTATAGTGAACTCTCAAGATATTAAAAATAATATAATTAAAAATCAGATTCAGAAGCTTTCTGAGGTTGTAATATCATTCTCATTCCGCTTCCTTTGACTTACATAATTGCTTCTTGTGTGTTTTTATTTATAGTTTACGTTGAGTGGATCTTATATATGATATGATTTATATGAATAATAATCTTTCTCTTTCAACAATAATGTATAATGAGTAATCACCCTATAAATTATGTAATTAATAACATTAAAAGAAGAATTTGAAGCAGGTATTCATTAGAAGAATGGCAATATAATTCCAACTCACCTTTATGCTACCTGCTGGAAAGTGTTACATACCATATTATTAAATATAAATTTTAATACTAAAACACGCATTTGTTCACTCACTTATTGTTAATGTAGCCTAACATTTTTCTACTTAGCTGCAATACTTTATTTAAATAAGCGTTTTGTTGTCCATTTGTTAATTTGTTATTCTCAAACCTAACCTGTTGCTCTGCAGTTTTATCCTTAAGAGATGTTTATATTTTTAATATATGCCATCACATGATCAAATAGTGGAAGTAGAAATAATTAAAGGTAGCTAGGAAAAGGTCAATATCTCTAAATCATTATTAATAATTAAAACATTCAACAACTTAATTTTTTTGTATTATAAATTTTGGTACAAATGGACTACTATCACATTAAATAAACACTTTAAGCACAGAGAACACATGTTGATTAGAAAAAACTGCAGTGAATTTTCATGCAATGTACAACTAAGTATCTGAATTTAGGTTAATTAGCTTACTTTCATATTGTTTAATATTTGAAAGAAAGGCTGCAGTTATTGTTTGGGATGGCAAAAGGAAGTGAATGATGAGAGTAAGAAGAGGAGAAACCTGAAAGATAATGAACCCTGTAGTGTTCAAAGTTTATAGGATGCTTCAGGATGTGAAAGTCAACTGGAAATTTTTGGAAAACATTCTAAATTTTTAAAAATATAATTTACAAAATAAAGAGGGTAAAATAATATTTTTTTACATTTTGCATTTTAATACAAGTTTTTAAGTAGTATCAAAGTTTCTAGACCCATTAGTGGTTACAGCATGAGGTAAGGGTATAAGTAAATGATTGATATACAGAGCTATATATTTGCCATATGTTTTCCATAATTGGATATCAGCCAAATTTTCTAAACAATTGTGCATCTTAAGATTCACTTCTTATGAATGGTCAGGTAAATATTGATAACACTTTTCTCTGAATATAGAGTAATTTATCTGTATTTTAAATAGTTATAATAAAATATGTTTTTATACATAAATAATGGTCTTAAAATTGTGGGGAAATGCTACATGGATAATATGATTTAACACAAGCACTGCTAAAATGAATTTAGTTAAATTAAAACAACTATGCTATTATACTAAACCTTAAAAGCTTGTTTTGTTGCCAGCGAAATGAAGTTGGGAGCTGAGGAAGTCTGTTTATAAATAGACTATAGCGCTGTCTTTCACGGGCCCTTCGGATACCCATTAGGCAACAAAAGGATGTGTGCAGAGAGAAGACACTATATTAGGTATGAAAAACATAAGATCTGTATCTGTCCTCAATCAGGAAAAACATTCACAAACTTTTTAATGTGTGAATAATTTGAACATTTAATATTAGAGACATATCTTGTATCTCCTTTGAAAGTTGGATTTGTTTTTAGGTTCACAACTATTCAGTTATAATTCCCTAACATTTGGAACAGTTTTTCTAAGAATTAGCACATTTTGCTAGAAAAGCACTAAAATAAGACAGCATTCAATTTAAATATGTTTCATTAATTATTACCAAGGAATAAATCAAACCACAAACTAAACTTGTTAATAAGATGCCACTTAAAAATATTATTAGCTTGTATTTAAAAATTGAAATGTGGAGTATATCCCACATATTTTCTTAGAATTAAAGAGCAAGGCATTATAATCAAACAATAACAACAAATATAGGTAAATAAAGCAAAATTTTGCAAATCAAATTAGAAATTTTATTCAGCATCCAAAAAGCCATGTTACTTAAAATTAATAGAATTCTAAAGATTCTCATTTAAAGGATAAAGCCCACTCTCTGAAAGCTCATTCTTATTATTTTAAAAAAGTAACTACATATCAAATATATCTATCATAACTATGAGATAGTTTACATTATGGCAAACATTACAGACTATTAATATCACCTCCTAATTGAGCTTATTATCATGCAATATATTCATAAAAAAATTGGAAGGCATACTCTAAATATTGAAAAATATAAATATAAATCATGAACAATGAAATAATTTTGTTCACATTTAGCTTACTTTTAATAATTCATACATTTTACTCAATACTTAATTTTCTGTTTATACAAGAACTGATATCATCAAAATAAAGAAAGGTTTACAAGACTAGACTATAGACAAAAGTCTATATTTGCTTATAGACTATAATAAAAATTACAATAAATATAAAATAGTATGATATAATTTACATACATATTAAAAGAGGACAAACAAGGCAAATGGGCCAAAAGTTTGTAAATCCAATTAGGAAATAGATTTTCCTTTTAGATATAAGTAACTTAGATTTTCCTTTGCCTATTGATACTGTTAAAGTTTCAGATGGCAAAAATGTTAAGTACCTTATCATGCCAGATGAGAGAATTATTCTTTTCATACAATTTAGAAAAATAGAGTGAAGCTGGTGAAAGACCACTTTTGTTACTCTTTTAGGGAAAAATTCATTAAACATTTCATTTAAGGGAAAAGCAGCATAAAATGTTTGCACTTAGGGAGTGTACTAAAAATAAACAGAACAGTGATTCCACAAGTGCTAAGATCCTTTATACAAAGTTGAACAAATTCTTTATTTCCTCAGCAGTTAAACGGACTCAGTCTGTGTCCCCTGAATAATAGGAAAATTTCATGCACATGTCTGCTCACTTGTTTCATCTGACCTTTTCGCTATGACTGTCCCCCACAGTGCACCAAAGGGGCACAACAAACACATGAAGGTCTCACAATCCCCTACAGAATGAGCTTCGCAGTAACTTGCGTTGCTACACAAAGATGCAAATTCAGAGCAACTTACCTGACTCACTGCAACAAGATGATAAAGTTTGCAAGGAGTGGAAATCATGTATTACTTCAGGGAAATGCAGTATGCAGCTGCTGCTCCAGCCTGTAAATTGGACTGCACTGACATTACAATCAACTGTTACTGACAAAGCTCGCGAGACTTGGCAGCAGCAGCTAGATCTGGAAGCAGCCAATCTTTACTTTCTGACATCTGTTCAAGGCTAATGGTATGAATGCAATAGTGAATCATTTACAAAAGTATTACCGGATTCATGGTTTAAGATTGCAGGCACTCATCTAAGAGGGAAGAAAAAAAAAGAAAGAAGTGAAAGCTTCTTTAAGAGAAGCTGAAGTTGAACAGAAAATGTAGGGGTTTTTTTTAAACACTACCAGAACTTCTAAGAATTTTTTCTCTTTTATTGACTATTTTCTTAGGATCACGTTAAGATTTAAAGATGTACAAATTCTATAAAATGCCGTTATTGAAAACTTTGTGCCTTCCATTTGTGCCAGTGATAAAGAAATGTAAAAATTAAATTAGGAAACAACACAATTACTCCCAGGACAAAGGTATGAAAATCAAAGATTAACTATATTAAGTGAGTGAATGTGTCTTATATGTATGTCCTTTTAGTCCTTACACCCAACACTTAAGTCATAAAATCTCATTAATTTTCAAGGGCCCTGCGGGCAGTCAGCACAAAAAAATACAAAGAACAGTGTGGAACAAACTCTATAGAAAAGGCAACATTTGGTAGCTGGAAATATGCAAGCTCCCAAGAATGTCTGTGTGTCTTTCAGGCTATGTTTCTTGAATTAGACATTTGGAAAATGAAAAAAGAAATTAACTGTTAGTGCCTGACTTTTCAGTGCAGTTATATTTCTTATCTTTTGCAAATGATTACTTTCACATTTAAATTTCTCAGTCTTGGCTCACTATGTACTAACCAGGAGACATGTAACTGAAGATAAGCCCATTTTTGCTTTTTAATATTGTTTAAGATTTCAAACATATAAGAAATGTCATTGTTTATGGATACTGCCTTATGCCAGTCATTTTAACAGATGGATTCCCTATTTTATACTAAAAATACATGAGTTAAATATTATTTTTTAAAAGATTTTATTTATTTTTAGAAAGAGGAAGGGAGGAAGAAAGGAAGAGAAACATCAATGTGTAGTTGCCTCTCAGGCACCCCCCAACTGGGGACCTGGTCTGCAACCAAGGCATGTGCCCTGACTGGGAACTGAACCAGAGACCCTTTGGTTCACAGACCAGCACTCAATGCACTGAGCCACAGCAGCTAGGGCTAAATATTATTAATCGTAATTTTAATTGATGAAGCTAAGTAAGACAAAAAGATCACAAACGTGCTCTATATTCTATCACTAGTAGCTTTGGAATAAAAATTTTAACCTAGATTTGTCTGATGTCATTTCATGTCACCTGTTTCCAAGCTAATAGTTATTTTGTCTCTTAAAGTTATCTATGCTGGGGAAATTATTACATAAGAGGCATTTATTAGATAAACTTTATATGGCATATTAATAATAATTTATGGTTTATTTAGAATATAGTTTATGTAATGACAATATTCTCTGAAGGAGAAAACTTTTTTTAAAAAATGATACACTGACAATTATGCCATGTTTTTTAAAATGATAGCATTTTTGTAAAAATGTAGTCATTCTGGCGGTCCACATGAAAAATAATTCCTTGGTTTAATATATGTTATTTTGTATCCAAATGTCAAAATTCTTCTCTCCACTGTACTTCCAATGCATTGATGTCTCTATCATCTGTGGTCAGTCTTATTCTCAAATCCTGCAATTTCTGAGAGATGTCTTATCTGTCGGCAAATTCAACACAGCATTTGGTATACTCCTAATATCTATCTACTCCCTATTCTGTAAAATATACCACATGCATGTGCAGATTTTAATTTTAAACAAGAACCTAAACAATAATATCTTATAAACAGTTTTTTTAAAATACATTTCCACTGGCTGACTAGCAATAACACCTGATCACAAAACCTGACAACTTTTTTTCTGCTCAAATTTTGCTTCAGTGAACTACCTTTAGCTCCTGCCCCTATAGTTCATGATTTCTTGGTTGTGCCCATTATTCGATGCATAATTTCAGTGCATTTGTCTTTCTCTCTTATCTGAGGGTTTCTTTCTTTGTGGCTGAACATACATCTGCTGCTTTGCTTCCGTGGTATTGTAGTGGGAAGACATAGGCACAGGTGGTGAGTCTCATTTCAGGGTCATAGGCACATGTTCCCTGACAGCCCGGTGGTTGCATGCTCGTGCTGTTAGATGTTGTGTATGCCTTCAGGTGACGCTGCTGAGATACCACACCATGCTGCACAGATTTAACACTGTTCAGATTTTGCAACCATGTATGTTGAAGCTCAGGCAAGATAACTAAGATGGCTTGACCATGGTTATTGCCAGTTAGCCTATTTCAGCTACTCTTTGCTTTTAAGGTTTAGTGAAACTTAGTTACCACTGGGCTGGTTGTTTTCTAGATAGTGGTATTCAAGAAAATTTGAAGCAGTGTGGGAAATATTAATTAGTAGTATAGATTTGTCTTGCTTGGGCACTCTGATGTCATACAAGACTCTACTTTTGTTAGTAGTTTTTTATAAGAACAATGCATTCTCTAAACAAAACATGAATTGCAAAAAGTGTGTTTCTACATTTTATATATAACACAGATGAAAAAAATCATATGCTATATTCCATTCTAGTTTTTTAAATCTATGTACAGTTGAGGTTATAGATAACAATAATTAAATAGGTTGTTATCATAATTTTGTTTCCTGTTTTAATGCCTTTCATATTATTTTGATTAACATTTTTAAGGACTGATATATCAGCAATGTGTATATTATTGCACTATTTGTTACTTATATGATGGCAATAATAATTTTAACTATTAACTACTATGTGCATACACTGTTCTTGTTGAGATCTGGGAAATTGAGAACATAGCCTGACCACAGCAAAACAGGAACAAGGAACAGCATGCAAACAAAGGCTGAGCAGACATCCTGCAGTATGTGAGTGCCCTACTTAGAGCAAGATAGGCAGATTGTAATCTGCTTAGTTTTGAATTTTGAAACCCCACCCTGTTCCCACGCACGGTCTCTGTCAGCAAATAGCTAACTGCCACGTCCGCTTCTGTTCAATGCGTGCTTGCTCGTCCCTATATAAGGACTTAGCTGTAAGTGCTTGGCGAGACTCTCATCTGCAGCCTTTTTGGGTCTCCGGATACCCAGACACCCGGAGAGTTCGCCCCTGCGCAGGTTAAGCTTGGCCAATAAAATAAGATCAAATCCCTGAAAGGTCTTCGAAAATTATTCTCACGTCCGGTGGATATAACATTCTGAACACTTTGACTATATTTTAATATATTAACTCATTTCAAACTCAGAACCACCTTTTAAGTAAGTATTATTATTATTATTATTATTTTATGGTTGAGGAAATTTAGCCGCAAAGAGTTTTGAGTAGCATGCCAAAATATCATACAGGTAATGAAAGTGATTTCTAATATAATTTTATGCAAACACTATTACATTTGGCAATTTTGCGTATGAATAATTTAATTGCAAATTTTGTTTATTATCTTAATAGGTTCTTGCAGAAGTTAAATAACTCAGTGTGACTTGTACAAGATAGTGGTTTTCTTTTCTTCTTTGCAGTCTTCTAAGACCCCCCCACTATAGCTGTTGAATAAGAATAGGTTTTCAACAATTCCTGCAAAAAATAGGAAATGTGTTTACTCAGAATAAAACTGAACAACTCCCTGGAGCCAAGAGATCAGACATTCACACCTGGATGTGTTTAAAGTGGATTTCCTGACAGATTTTCGAAGTGAGCCAGACTCTGCAGTCAATACAATCGTTTAATAGTAGGGCGGCAGCTAATATAGAAGTGCCTAGAGCAGGCACTGTTTTCTCGTATCAATGAGATAAAACAAAGGTGTTTTAAAGTGAATGAAGAATGAGGGATGGGGTCTGAACTAGCCTCTTATGTGAAACCGATTCAGGAAGTTCACAGACCACACTTCAAGAGGCGGAGTCCTGGGGCCTGGTTCCTCAGGACCTTGTTGTTCTATCGTGTATATAGTTTGTCTTTTTTTTTTCAGATTTAATCATGTTCAATTATGCCTTTTACTTTAAACTTATTTGGAAATGTGTCAAACAGTTTTTTATGTCTATTTTCTTTTTTTTAAAGATTTTATTTATTTACTTTTAAAGAGTGGGGGAAGGGGAGAAAGAGAGGGAGAGAAACATCAATGTGTGGTTGCCTCTTGCACGCCCCCTACTTGGGGCCTGGCCCACAACCCAAGCATGTGCCCTGACTGGGAATTGAACTAGTGACACTTTGGTTTGAAGCCCGTGCTCAATCCACTGAGCTACACCAGCCAGGGCTGATGTCTATTTTCATATAATTAACATCGTCAATTATTTTTCTTTGACTTTAATTCATCTAACTCACTTTTGTTGTAAAGGTAAATTGTTTTAAATTTGTCATGGAAATGGTAACATAAAAATGGACAAAACAATTATAAGGATTTTATACACTTATCATTTTTCATGAAATAATTACTTAAACCAGAGTTTTTCCAAAAGATATATACTTTTATGGCTAAGGTACATGTGACTAACTACCTGCACAAAATATTATCAATTTATACTCCCACCAGCAAGCTGAAAAATATGTCTCCTTCATGCTCAAAAGACAGACAACAGTATCATGGTTTCCAGAGGGAAGCGGGGAATAGCAAAGCGGGTCAGATATAGGGTGACAGGGAAGGATTTGACTTTGGGTGGTGGGCTCACAATGCAGTACACAGATCATGTATGATAGAAATTTATACTTGAAACATGTATAATCTTTTTAAAAAAGATTTTATTTATTTATCTTTAGAGAGGAAAGGAAGGAGAGAGGAGAGAAATATCAATGTATGGTTGCCCCTCCTGAGTTCGCTGCTGGGAACTGGCCTGCAACCCAGGAATGTGCCCTGACTGGGAATCAAACTGCGATTGTGTGGTTCACAGGCCCGCACTCAATCCGCCGAGCTACACCAACCAGGGCCCGAAAGATGTATAATCTCATTAACTGT